TGGCTTCCTCCTGGTCAGTCTTTACCATCCTTAGATTTGGATATTTGGACTTCTGTAGCTGAAGGCAACCCTGTCTTCTGGTTCTGGGATCACTGTGTAATTCTATCCACTTCACTATTCTCCTTCTTTTACCTTTCAGGTCTTTCTCATAATGGCTGCACATGAAATATTTTGTCTGCCAAGTCTGAGAGATAAAAGTAATTTTACATTAACAGAAAAGATCTTGTGTAATGACACTATATAGAGTATGCTGTGGTTTGACTGTGTCCACAAAAATCCATGTGTTGGAAACTTATCCCCAGTGTAAAAGTGCTGGGAGGGGCCTAATAAATGTTGATTGGGTTGTGAGGGTGGAGCCCTTATAAATGGATTAATGTAGTTAATTTCAGGAGTTGGTTAGTTTTCAAGAGAGCTAATTATTATAAAAGCGAGCCCAGCCCTTTGTGTTTTCTTTTGCCCAAGTTCTCTTGCCCTTCTACCTTCCGTTATGGATGAGACGGCATGAAGGCACTTGCCTCATGCTGGTGACATACTTTTGGACTTTCCGGTCTCCAGAACCATGAGCTAAAAGAATTCCTGTTCATTATAAACTACCCAGTGTTAGATATTCTGTTATAGTGACAGAAAATGGACTAAGAGTAAGATTTTAATAGGATGGACAAAGCCAGAAGATGGCTGAGATTTAAGAAACACTGTTGGTAATAAGCAAAAGTATCGATTTTTTTTTTTCTTTAAACTCTATTGGACTTGAGAAAGGTACCAATTTTTATATACTTAGCTTGGTACATTGGAAAGAACGTGGGCTTTTTGTTAAGACTGGGATTTTAATATTATCTCTAAGATTTTCTTATATATGAAATAGGATAAGAATATAGAGTTGTTTCAAGGTTTAAATAGGAGAAAGTATATAAACTTTCTAAAGCATCAGTAAGTAGTGAAAATAGAGTAAGCGGTTTCCATACACTATGCATTGTCTTTGTTTTGTTTTGTTCTTCCGTGTATCAATACCATTAATTGATACCATCTGAAAATAGTGTCCCAAGGAGCAATTCTTTATTTTGTCGCTATAGTCTTGAAGATTTTGTCTATCCCTCAGCCCCCACCTCCTGTTTAGTTGGAATGTCCCAGAGAAAGGAAAGTAATTGCATCATCTTTTTCTCAACTTTTGGCAGTCTCCTGAGTGCCCCTAGCCAACAGGCCCAGTGCTTCCAGCCTCTGTACAGATGATTTCTAGATTATTTTGAATTTAAATTTATTTTTGTCATGCCTAAACATAGTAATGAACAGTGAGATATTTTCTGGGAACTTTGTTTGGAGTCATATGGTAATTATTTTTTGATTATTACAAGATCCTAATAACAATAAACTTCAGTTTTAGACATTGGGGATTCAAGTGCCAGATTCTGAAGGACCTTTTTATATTAAGGAGTTTTGATATAGGCAGTGAGGAGCCATTAAGTTTTTAAGGAAGGCGGTTCTGATTATAGCAGAGCCAGTATGGAATTGAATGGTGGTAAGAAGGTCAGCCAAAATTTTTACTGATAGATGATAAAGGCTTAAATAAAGGTAGCATTTTTATGAATGAAAGAGAGAGAAGGAGTCAAAAGAAGATTCTAAAGTAGACTTGATACGGGGAAATGAGAAAGAACTCAAGAATGACTTCAAAGTTTTTAGCTTGGTGAATAGAAGTGACATTAATTGATGTGAGAGGCCAAGATGATGAGATGGTTGAAGTTGGGGTGCCTATTAAAGAATTCAGATAGTAATAATGCAAACATAGATTCTATGTAGTGTATAAACTCTGATGTTCTCAAGGGTTTGTTCCTCATTTCTGTTTTGTTTGCTGTCTCACTCGACCCAGCAAGTAGAGAAAAGGGAAGATGGAATCGTAATGAGCCCCAAGATTTAATGAGGATTAAGGATAAGGCAACAGTAGAACTTGAATAGAGATGCTACAGGTGGGAGAGAGATGCAGGATATCGAAACATGACAGGAGTCTTTTTTCCCCTTACTAGGATGAGTTTTTGGGCACAGGAATAATGTCTAACTTACTTCAGCATCTTGCATATTGGCATATTGTAGCAAATGCTCATAAGTTCTTGAATGAATGAATGAATGAAATCAGACAAATATAATATCACTGAGTATGGCACAGAGGATGGTTAAAACTGAAGAGATTATCAGGTATTACAAAGTAGTATATAATGCGTGCCGGTAGCCTTTTAACCATTTACAGTTATAACTTAGCTTATTGATAAAATTTTAAATCACTAGCATTTTTGTGTATTTTTACACAAACGTAAAACACTTTAGGTTTGTGTAGGCAAAGATAGGCTTAGTTTTTCCATACATTTCAACTTGAATTCCACTTATTTTTTAGTGTGCTTGTAACCCTATGACTATTGAGAATGAGGACTGGGGAAAAATCTTTCATGTAGTGATACCTGAGTTTTATTGACAAATGAAATGTGAATATGATTTTTCAGCGGATATTAGAGCAACTTCATCTGAACATTTATTACTTTCTCATGGGTTGCTGTGAAATACATGCTAATTACTTTAAATAGGATTAAGAAAACATATGGATATTTCCCTCCTGCTACCTGTTTACCATCCAGTGTAATGGTGGTAGAAAATCTGAATCTGAATTTGCCTTATCAATTCCTTGTTTTTGATCACTGCCACCCATGGTTTAGGATCGTTCTTCCTTCAGTGGACATCTGTGGCTATCCTGTTCAGGAGAGTATCTGATAATTAAGGATAAGGAAGACATAAAATGCTCTTCAAAGATTCGTTAGTCTGTATTCCCAGCTATTCTGGAGGCTGAAGTGCGAGGATCACTTGAGCCCAGGAGTTGGAGACTGCAGTGAGTTATGATTACACCACTGTACTCCAGCCTGGGTGGCAGATTGAGACCCTGTTTTGAAAGAGATGGCTGGGCGCGGAGGCTGGTGCCTGTAATCCCACCATTTTGAAAGGCTGAAGATCGCTTAGGCCTAGAGCTCAAAGAAAGAGAGGAAGGAAAAGAGAGAAAAAGAGGAGGAGAAGAGAGAGAAAGAGAAAGAAAAGAAAAGAAAGGTTAATTCCTGAAATAGTTTATGCTTGAGGATATGTAGAGTAAGGAAAAAGTGTTTTAAATCTCATTCTACAGAATCTACCAAATCGCTCCGTCTTTATTTTCCATCGTTTCTTTCTACTATCTTTATCCCTTTTGCATCTCTTTTGGTGACTGCTTTTTTTCTGACTTTTTCCTTTTTTTCTCTGATTTGTTCATTCTCTCCATTTTATTCTCTTTGACCTCTTCTCTTTAGTACAGATAACTAGTCATAATATAAAGTTGAGATTTTTAAAAGTTTTTTTTGTAGTGAATACATTTTTATTTTTATAATCTAAAATTCAGATGAGATTGACATTTTTATGTTAAAAATAATTCATGGTTTTTGTAGTCATCTAATAACCTGATTTATGATACAGTCATTCTTAAGGAAATAACAAGTAGGAAATAGTTTTCCTTTTCCAGGAGCATTTGGCAAATAAACTATGTGACATTTGCTCAGGAATTTGAATCAGCCATTTATTCAAAGGAAGAATTTGAATCAGCAATTCTTCCTTTCCCCTTCTTCTTTTATTTTTATTTCACTCATGGATCCTACCTACTTAATTATATATTATATGAAATGTTCATTTATTGTAAAATTGTCAACTGTTTTTAGAAAGAGGGTACTGTGAGAAAAAATTATGCAGTAGTAAAATGGTTTCTCTAAAATGAAAATGTATCTTCTACTAATTTTTGATATGGACACAATTTTAATGAGTTTATCTTTGGCATTCTTTGTGAAATTGTACTGCAAGACTACATAAAACTCAGGAAAGTATAGTGTTTTCCCAGTTCTGGAATTTCCCTTCGACTTTTATGTACAACTCTACTTCACCTCCCACCATCAAACCCAGCTTGGAAAAGTACATACAAGGTATGTAGGAGCAGGTGTGAGGAAACTTGGGTTCTAGTCCAAGTGTATAGTTTTGTTTAAATTGTTTAACTTTATTTGGTTTGTCTTTTGGTGTCTGCAATTTCTGAAAGTCAAATCATCTATTTCCAAACAAGTACTCTCGTCTGAGCATTTTTCAGGATCAAGATTTTATTTCATATAGTGAATTATCATTGTTCTTTATAATTCCACCATTTACCAGCATTGTGACCTTTGGCAAAGTTACTAAAATTCTGAGGCTTTCTATTCTGTATCTGGGGATCATAATGCCTACACTGCAAGGTGATTATGAAGGTTAAATTGGATAGTGAATGTGGTTTAAAAGTGTTTAGTTCAGATATTCTATAAAGCTATTGTTAAGTGAGTTCTCTTATAATTTCGTTTGACTATAGTAGAAATAGCAGTTACAAGCATCACATGTGAAAAGGCATAAAGTATATGAATTGTATTGATAAAACATTTTTGTGATAATTGCACTGTATAAGATAACATCAGAATGTTTACATACATTTATTTTTGAGTAAAAATTAAATTTCTATTCAGTGTTTAACTTCATTTTAAAACATCATTAAAGAAATAATAACATTGGTTATTTGGTTTTACTAGATGCTTTCCTAAGCATCTTACTTTTAGTAATTAGGAAATGTGTTCCAAGTGAAACTTGGTCTAAAGGAATCATTCTGTGGAATTGTTTTGCCTTTTTGGTACCATATTGATGTTTGGATACATGAGGCACTTATACAGCAGTTGTTTAAGTATATTTACTAAATATAAACAGCACATCATTCAACTGTTACATATTGGTAGCAGATTTATGAAAAGTACCTAAAAAGACTTCTGGTGTTTATTTTAATCTGATTTGTGGCATTTGTATGATTAGTATTTTATAATCTATTCATCACTTTAAAAACATGTCACAATAATATCAAGTCTGTACAATTCTTCCTACAGGAATGACTATTTTATTCTTCATGCAATAGATTTAAAGGTCAACGCTGCTCTTTTATGTAGGTTATGGGTGCCACATGTGTGCTTTCAGAGCAGTAGTGTGAGGAAGTTTGGAGTGGGATGGCAGGACGGCCTCATCCCTATGATGGTAACTCCAGTGATCCAGAGAATTGGGATCGGAAATTGCATAGTAGACCTCGTAAACTTTATAAACATTCAAGGTAGGTAGAAAACATGTATTTCACATATGAAAGCTCTGCTAAAACTGATTGTAAAGAATACTACTGTATTTGGTTGTAGCAGTTCCAGCTAGAGGATGGGGGCTGTTTTGCATAATATGAATGTTTGTGTGTCTCCATAGATAACTTTTGGAGAAACATTTCTTTTTAATTTTTTAATATTTGTATTTGAATATTTATATCTGACTCTAAAGATAGTAAAAATCACCCTAGTTGACTCCATGAATAAATGGTATAATTGACTTAATTGAGAACTCTGACATGACAGGTTAGTTATTTGTATTTAAATCTCTCTAATAGGAGTTTATTTTGTGCTCTGAATACATTGTATGTGTACCTTACACAGGATAATATATAGATTTATGTTAGTGTTTATTTCATACATTTTTAACGATCTGAATTTATATTGCTTTGTCATCCTTCTCATGAATGAGAACAGTTAATCTTTCTGGAATGACTGCTGGCTTATTTAAAGTTTGATGCATGAAAGAAAATTCATTTCAAGTTTCAGCCCATCTACCTATTACATTTAAAACTCCATTTTCTGCTGTGTAACTTAATGAGAAATACCTCATTTTATACACTTTGTGATCTGAAATTTTAAGATGTTAATTGACAATTCATAAACCTCATATATTACAGGTATGTAAGCATGTTTTCATAAAGCATAATCTATGAATATTACTTAGGGGATATTATTGAACATTTAACTTACTTGAATATGAAATTCTCCTGACCACTGATAGCAAATACCAGCTTTCTTAGGGGGAAAAAAAAAAAAGCCATAATGTAATGCTGAAATGGTTTTTGTGATTTAAAAAAAATAGTTCAAATACTTTAAAACTTTATGCTATAGCTAGAAAATATGAGTGATTGGTACTTTTTAAGTCTCCTGATAAGATGTTCACCTTTATTGTGGACTTTTAATGTGATGAGGCCTAAAATGTTAATGTTGACTTTTTTATAATTGATAAGTCCTTGACAAATGGTGTTAGTGTTTTTTAGTGTTTTTTGTTTTTTATGTTTGTTCATTCTGTGTGTGTGTGTGTGTGTGTGTGCGCACTCGCGCGTACATGCATGTGTATACAAACTGGGGCTTTTGTTCTTTTTCTCTATGTTATGGATATTATTTTGTCATTTAGATTAAAGAGGTATTGGTTTTGCCAGGCACTCATACCTGTAATCCCAGCACTTTGGGAGGTCGAGGCAGGTAGATCACTTGAGGTCAGGAGTTCGAGACCAACCTGGCCAACATGGCAAAACCTCATCTCTACTAAAACTACAAAAATTAGCCAGGCATGGTGGCATGCATCTGTAATTCCAACTGCTTGGGCGGCTGAGGCATGAGAATTGCTTGAACCCGGGAGGTGGAGGTTGCAGTATGCCACTGTAGTCTAGCCTGGGTAACAGAGTGAGACTCTGTCTCAATAAAAGAAAAAATGTTATTGGTTTTATCACATTAAATGTGGGGCTGTATTTGTACTATGCTATATATGTGCGTGTTTTTTTTTTCAAGTAAATTATGTGGTATTCATCATACTTTGTGCATTTTTTCTGCTGAGGTACAATACTGCATTATATAATGAAGAGGTGACAAGGGAGAAAATAAAGTATTGTTTTATAAAAGCTACAGTGGGAAAAATGTATAAAAAGGAACAGTATATTTTTCCTTACTGTTGTTTCATTGTCAATAATGAATACCAAAGCTCTTCTTGATAGCTGTAACATCAGTAACTTTTTAGTGCTGTTTTTATTATTTTTTTATTTTTTGAAATGGGTTCTCACCCTGTCGGCCAGGCTGGAGTGCAGTGGCATCATTTCAGCTCACTGCAATCTCTGTTTCCCCGGGCTTAAGCAGTCCTCCGTCCTCAGCCTCAGGAGTACCTAGGACTATAGGCACATACCACCACCAAACACATTTAATTGGAGCTATTTTTAGGTAGACTGCAGCAGCATTAATGTAGAATAGAAAATAAATATCAGCAAATGATTTTTTTTTAATGCAAAAACTATGAAGTCCTTTAAATGAGTTTATTTTTGCCTCATTCATGGAAAATCTGCCCAAGGAAGAACTTTTAGAGACCTCCTGTCCCTATATGCTTAGGAACATATAACTTAGGACACTTAAAAAGTATGATTTAACTTTTGAAAAAGTGCTACTTTTTGAATTGATATTAAGTTAATTGGCTGAGAGGTTTTAAAACGTAACAGCAAGTAACTTGCCCTCAGTTCAGGAGCGATTCAAAAGTGTGTCACAGTACTGTTTTAGAATGCTTTAGTATCCACATATGGAACTATGAGAGGACAGTAAGGCACTTAAACTATGGTAATAAGTTGTAAAGTAAGAGTTCAGAGAAAGAATCATTATCAGCTTGAGTAGGTGAAAATGAGACTTGAGCTAATCCTGGATGATTAGAGTATTAGGTAGATGGAGGACATTTCTGGCAGGGACCTTCAGATTACCTTGACTGTATCTGAAGGTAGAGCTCTGTGGATAGTATTATTGTTCCCATTTGGCAAATGAAAAAAACGAAATTAGAAAACTTGCCTAGCACCATCCAACTTGTAAATAGCAGAGCTGGGATTTATAAACAAGTTTCTCATTGTTTTTATTTTCAAATTTTAAATAACTTATTATGATATATTTTAAATACATGCAAAATAGAAAGATATAACGAACTCCTGCTATTCATTACCCAGCTTCAAGTTACCCACTCATGGCTGATTTTGTTTCATCATGCCTCTACCTACTCTCATTCCTTTTTTTGAATGTTGTGTATTTTATTTAGGGATGTTTGAGTAAAAGAAAACTAGACTAAACACTGACTTAAGTTAGGGGTTTATTTTTCTTATATATAAGAAGTCCAGAAATAGGCAATGGCAGATACATGTTTAATGTTAGGGTCAAAAATGTCTTATTTTCTTGGCTTTTCCTCATTATCACAAAGTGAATGTTGTAGTTTCTAAACAAAAAAAAAGGGGACAATGGGAAAAGACTTCATATATATCAGGAAATTAAATTTCTCAGAAACTTCTAGCAGATACCTGCTTATAAACCAGTCATTGGTTAGAATCATGTCACATGGTCATCTCTGCATCAGGGAGACTGAGAAATACAGTTTTTAAACTGGGCTCATTGCCACCTTGAGCAGTTGGGGATTTAAATCTATTCACTTAAGGAAATAAGCATACTTTATTGTTTTAGTTTTTGCAGGTAACCTAAATGTTGTCTTGTTGCAATTTGTGTTTTCCTTATGTTCTATTTATATTTTGGAATAGCGTGATTTTTTCTAGTCTTGTACTTTTGATTTTTTCCCCCACTTTTCCTTGCTGGCTAGGATAAAAATAAATTTTTGATTCACAAAAGCAACAGCAACAGTTACTATCTAATGTGTATTTACCATTAAGGTTTGACAGTTTGTGGACATTGTCTATGGTTTCTGTTCTATCTAAACAACTTTAGGTACTTTTAAAAATCATTTAATTATTACATTTTATTTCTGATCATTTTCTTTCTTTTTTCAAAAGATTAAAAAATTGGCACGTAATTGTATATACTTATAGGATACATAGTAATATGATACGTATATCATATAGTGATCCTATCAGAGTAATTAGCATGTCCATCATCTCAAATATTTATCTTTTTTTGTGTTGGGGACATGCATTAAAAGGTGCTTCTTTTTTAAACTTTCTTTTGAATGTAGATATATATGTGTCTCTTTAAAAAATTTGTTTACAGTTAAACTAGTGTGAACATGGATGGACTTTTAGGGTGGCTATGATCTTTTAGCAGGTGTAAAATTTACTGAATTGCTTTAAAATTCTATTTGTTTATAAGTTGCTGAACTTGTTTCTGGGTGAGTAGTTGTATAGTTTTATAGAGAGTTGTATAGTTAAATACTTGTATGACACCTATATGGAACAGTTTGGTAGCCTGCTGAAGATCATTTCAGTTGAAATATATTTGGCCTGAATTTGTGGCAACTGCTTTTTAAATTATGAATTAGAGGACTTTTTGCTGTTTAAAAAAGAAACAAGCACTTTTTCTGTATAAGGAGGTTAAAATGTCTAGATAGATTATAAAAGCTCTTAAATATTTGGATTGGGTAGAATATGATCACATAAAACTCAGATCTGCAGTCCGCTCAGGTTACTAAAGATAAATGCATCATACATTCAGTATAGACTATGCTGCAGGGTTTCATTCCCACATGAAAGTACGCATGCTCGTTTCTCCTGAGACTGCATAAAGTCTGAACGTTCCAGTTTCTGTTTTAAGTCACTTCATAGCCCTAGCAGCAGTTTAGAAATGCAAAAGTTTGATTGCTTTAAAGAATAGTTCTTGAGTGCATTCTTAATTAAGTACAAATAATATTTTCTCTTTGATTTTAAAGAGCTGTACTGCCGAGAATGGATACACAATAAAATATTGAAAGGAAAAAGAAAGTTGGCTGTATCCTAGTTTTCTAAACCTTGGCAAGCTGGCAGAGCTAGAATTAGCTTTACAGATGGCATTTGGCAACATATCTTCATATCTCTAAGCCCTCAACTCCTGCATTTTGTTATGCCTGTCTATCAAGTACAATATCCAATCACTGCTTAGAGATGGAGAAATGGGACGATCACAGCTCACACGATGCTGTTTTGTTAGAAACGTCAGTGCCGCACAACCCACGGCTGAGTCAGTGTCTGTGAGAAAATAAACTGAATTAATATGTAGAGGGGGTTGTATCTCTGAACATTTAAAGCCTAAATACGGCAACAGCATTATTACAAAGTAGAGGGAGGAAGCTAAAGGAAGTCTATGGACAGGTGAGGTAGGGGGAGACTGGGGAATTTTCTGATTGTTCAGAGGAATCTTGAAGATGATGGAAATATCAGATGTGCTAAAGTTTCCTAGTAATGCCCAAGGATGCTGACCTGGCTTTCAGTGCTTCATTGTTTGAAAGAGCAGAGTCCCTTTATACTCTGATTTCAAA